TGTAATCAGTCAAGTTTTCATGTTCTAACCCTCACTGCAAACTATTTTAAAATACAAGTACTCAATTAGGCATAAGTACACGGAGTTCTTCTCTGCTATATTTTTTATTAAGTTCTGAGACAGACTTACCTTCCAGGTATAAATAACTTTTCCATTTCTTTCAACATTTACAATGTAGAGTGCTGATGAACTCTCAGAAGTATCTGAAATGATAAGTATCAAAAGGCACAGGATTTTCACTTGAGCTGGTTCATCATACAAGTTATGCACACTTTAAGCAAAGATACTAAATACATTTTTACATATAAATACTTCTTTGTATGTGCCAAAATTACTCCCTTCTGGAAAGAGAGGGAATATTTCTAACACCACGATTTAAATCTGATAAACTTCAACACAAAATAGTTAAGGGGTTCCAAAACACACAGGAAAGAATTAAGTAAACTCCTCACTTTTCATTATAATTGTGTTCTAATAGCCACTACCTTTTGTGATGAAAATGGAATATGCTTTTTCACTATCTTCCATTCACAGAAAAAAAATACAAACAAATTGCATTTATCCATTATACACAACATGGGGTTCAAACATTTAAGTTGCACTCCAATCCTCAGAACACTACAGGGAGACAGAACTAGCCCAAGGAAAAGCGTCACTTGCTCCCACCTGCCCCTTCAGCAACCCAAAGGAATGCCTGGAAAAACACCCCCTTGCTAAGCCACCCAAAACCCAAGAACCACGAGATTAAGCACCATATATATATATATATATATACACGCGCGCGCGCACAACATACCTACAGGTACAAGGGAATTAAGCAATACAGGACAAGAGATACCATGTGGGGTGTGAATGAAGAGTATGGTTAAAAGGGAAACAGATGAGCAGGAAGCTAGGATGGACACAGAAAGAAGAGCACATCTGGACAAAGCAGCACAAAATAAAAAGTAAGGGAAAACACCAGAAAAAAAAAATAAATTGTCATATTCAAGATGACAAAAACACATGCTTTCCTGATGCTGCTTTTCTGTTTTCTAATCGCTGCAGCCACCAAAAATGTGTTTATCTCAGATGGAATTTTCGCTAAAAGTGGAAATTTTGGCTTAATAAAGTTGACAGCTGCATGATTGGTCCTAGTTTTAAGATAAACGTAACCTGTGGTTCAGTAAGCATCAACAATAAGAATTCTCCACAACTTTTGGCAACCTTTTAGTCAAGTTTGACAACATTTACTTTGCAGTTATCACAAAGCATTGATAGAAGGAAGACATGTGAAATGTAGTTGCACAAGCCTGATACTATGAACTGGCTTGTACTGCTTGCAGTGATAAGAAAAAACTTTTAACAAGTATTATCAGAAGGAAATAAATTCCGTATTTTTTGTGGGAGGACGATTAAAAACCTTAGTGTGCATTTAATAACACATCACTTCCTACTGGTTTCAGATCACTCGAAGTGCACTACAATACCACTACATTAGGGGCTAGCCGGTGACAACTGAGAAAGTCTCAGATAACCACATATTCTGCTCTTCTTTTAGTAGAGGCTTCCCGGAATTTAACTACCACCTAAAACTTTCAAGATGAGTACTACAGTCTCCACACTTCTGCCTCATACAATACTTCCTCAGAATAGAATTTAGCTAGAGAAGAAGGTCCACAAGAAACCTCCATGTCAATGAATTTCTCTATCACCCAACACAGAGATCTTAAAGGTGTTGAAAAAGTTCCGTGTCAGAAGCAAGTTTCATGTCACTCAACATTGTCAGTGGGAATATGGAGCCAAAGAAGAAGTGGCAACCATCTCTGCTCTTGGAAAGTCCTGCAGTAAAACTCTGCATGTAGAATTACCACTTCTTCCTCATCCCCACAGCTGAGACCAGCAGATGAAGGGCTGCAAAAGAACCAACCCAACCTGCCTGCCCAGCAAACAGCTCTTATCAATGTACTCAGAAGAAAGCAGAGTTTGATTTTCTGAAGGCCGTTATACGTAGTTCATACAAAAATAAGTGGAATAAAGAGAACAAGGCTGGTTCTCTTCACCTGCTGCTCCCCTCCCATCATGATAGCTACTCTCAGCTCTCAGGCAATTAGAAATTCTCACACGCTATCAAGGGCTTTCAAGTCCTCAGAAAAGAAAATAACAAATATGAATAACTATAACATCTGAAACCACTGACACAAAAGTACTATGACTCCTAAAAATTACTGGCTTTCTGTGAGTAGGTATTTCTTTGATGTTTAAATTAATCTTTCCAAATTCCTACCTCCCACCTTCACGTTCCTAGTACAACAGTACTACATTGGGAGAAAAAAAGTCAGTATACATGGCAAAAAGTTGAAATGCAACTCAGCAATGCTGGTGTCTGATCAGATGCAGCTTCCCACCCAGATTCTTCTGATTCTGTATTACCAGGGACATTTACTGAACAGTCTGTATTACATTTGAAAAAGCTGAACACGATTATCCCATTCCCAAACACGAGTCAGCACCATTTTGAGATGGTTATGACATAAATGCACAGGTTAATTGACTCACTGAATTCATCACAGGTGAACTGATAAATTCATAGGTTAATTATGCATGGCAAATTTCAGAATTTTACCTTGAACCCCTTCAGTACATCATTCAACAGTTGTTCGGTAAACTATCTAGCATATGCGAAACAATGATGCAGTGCATCAAGGACCATCTATTTTGACTGAAGTAATAACTATTAATTTTTTTTAAGACCAAGGTTTCCTTCAATTTCTGAAAAGCAGAACTGAGCCACCTGGCCTGCAAATGAATGAGAACAAACACAGGCAAAAAAACCACAGAGCCAAGAATACAGTGGGGCCATTCTTTTTTTCCAACCACTACACCAAGCACTGGCTACACTTGCTGTCGCACACTGCTGCAATAGCTAACGCTTTACCTAATTTTAACTAGGGCTCATTTACCACGTAGACAGAAGCATCTGTTTCGGGGGCTTTTTGCCCCAAGGAAGGGGAGCAGTGTGGGAGAGAAGGAGTCATGCTAAAAGCCTTATTTTGGGGGGGGGGAAAGAAAAAAAGAAAAATATCATGTGTGTAGAAGCAGAAGAAACAAACAAGCTGTGGAGCGTAGCAGAGGTGCAGGAGGGCTTTTGGCACACGAGAGGTTCCTCGGAGACGTCAAACTTTCCCGCCGCGGGTCCCCCGGCCTCAGGCACC